ATATGCTATATAATTGCCAAACCCTGCCTAATACCCCCCCTTATTCATTCACATACCAAAAATGAGCAAAATCCGTTGAACCTAAACTGACTAATGGCAATTCCCATTTTTGCCAAAAAATTGCCGTGGCTCGAAAGTACGTCGACTGGCGTGCTTCAAAATAGGACGTTCCATATGGGATCATAGCAATAACAACTATACTCAATTTCAAACATGTGGGTCAAACGCTTCCTGAGTTATCGTTGACCAAAACCAAATGTTGACGGACGGACGGACGGACGGACGGACGGACAGACGGACGTACGACGGACGACGACCCATGGCAATAGCTCAACTTGACGATGTCAAGGTGAGCTAAAAACCAAGAATTTCATAATTAAAAGATTCTTTTTATCACATTTGACCTAACTTGTTACATGCTGCAAATGTATTCTCACACATGGCACACATCTCAACTGGTATTTTCCCCGGTATTCATGTTATAATTCAACAATTTCAAATGCAGGTACGTTTATTAAATTTGGCAAACGCGATACTTGCATTACTGCACATATGCGAGAGCTAAAGCCTCATCTACACAGAGTCACCTTAACCCGAGTTAAGCTAACCCGAGGTCAGAAACACGCATCGTATTACGCGGAGTTTGTCTTAACCGGAGTTAAGCTAACGGCAGCTAGTGGGAGACAGGGTTTACTGCGGTATGCAAGTATACGCATGTAATGAGTAACTTGTACCTCATCTTTTTCCCAGTTATTTCTTTCTGCCGTGATCCGTATATTATTGAAAATATCGCAAAAAGTTACAAATATGCAAATCTGTGAATCTTGAAAAGTCGTGGAAAGGAAGTAACCCGGATGTCAACATTGCATGTGTCGCCACCTATTCAGTCTACTGATAACTACCACTTAGCTCGAGTTAATGATTTCACGCGCGTCTTAACGTAGTTAGCTTAACCCCGCTCATCGCGTGGGGTTAAGCTAACCCGGGTTAAGGCTTAACCTGAAACTTACAGAATTACTCTCATAGCTATTCTCGTCCTTCCTTTTTAAATTTTAGTTAGTTGCAAACTTGAGGCCTTTTCTACTGTGATTCGCAGTGTTGATCTGTCAATTTGATCACCTTTGTTTCTTTCCATCTTCAATAGTCCCTTTCGAACTTTTAGGACTAAATATTTACAAGGTTAATATTTACTATTCCTCTTTGATATCTATACTACATTAAATCTATGACTACAAGGATCTGTTGCTGCTGTTGTTAATTGATAATTTAGTATCTAAATTTAAATGTACCCCTGTTCCTATTTTTGGCCAACATTATTGTTTAACCTCATTAATATATTAATCCTCAAAAGTCCAAAAGACTATAATGAAGATGGAATGAGACAAAGTTCATCAAATAGACTTATCAACACTGCAGATGGCAGTAGAAAAAGCCTCAAATTTACAATAAACTATGTACAGCGGAAGGGAGAGAATTCCAATACGGAATGAAGAAACAAAGAAGCATAACTTAAAGTGATCCTTTGAAGATGGCACGTGTCGAAAGCAATGAATGGCTAAGAAAGTAAGTAAATAAAGAAAGTATTGCTAGCACATAAAGCTGCATCTATATTGGTTGTACCACAGGGACTTTAGACAGAGTCACTAAAAACTAAAAATAATATGAATGCACATTCACAACAAGAGCCGCAGAGCGACTGGGCTCATCTGAGGTCTGTTGCTACGGTTATAAACGTAACATTTCAGTGGTGCGTAGTGACACCTTTGTTAGGCGCAGATATGCAGATACGCAGTTGCGTACACATCATTTCAGCAAACATTTTTTTATTGCAGAGAGAGAGCGAGAGAGAGGGGGGCGAGAGAGAGAAAGAGAGAGAGAGAAAGCGTGCGAGGGGAGAGAGAGGGAGAGAGTCAGTCAGACTAAATTGTTTATAAACAAATAACACCCACGCAGCGCGCTACTATATCAGTTACGTCATCGATTGAAATGTACATTCCGATTTCGCCGCGCGGCGTCCAACCTTTCGACGAAGATGGCGGGCAGAGGTAAGGCAGACGCACGTATAATGTACAGGCTTCTTCAATGTCGGGGAGGATCAACACATTTCGACTGACAGTCAACCATCGGGCTCTGCAGCATCCACAAGCCAGCATGCTCCACCATATCCCGACATTGCACACTACTGTAACGTCGACGCAGAGAGCCATGCCAATTAGGACAGTACAAAACTGGCAAATTTTCATTGGTTGGTTTGACGATTCATTTCTGCAATTACTTATCTCAAGATTGGTTAAACTAAAGTTGAGAAAGTAATTCTTTCTGCACTTTTGAGTGCAATATATTTTGACCTATCCTACTGGGACATTAATTCTTCTCACTCTGTTCCGATAGATGGCGTGCATACTGACTAGACGATCTGCAGCCGGATATCCGCGCGAAGCGCTCAAACGCCGCCCCGCGGCGCACTTTTGCAATTTCGCTGCCCTCTTCCCAACGCCAGTACTACGGTCCTTTCTAGGAAAGGCTTGAAGCCGGCTTTTCGCTGAATTGAGCAGTTCTGCCCATTGCACGAGGGATCTCACTACCCAGTTATGTAGAGACTGCATGGCTAGAAATGCTCCCAATTTTTTGTTCGCTACTAGGCGCGCTTTCTTTGCTGTATATAACCGGAGTTTTTTGTTCACATTGTAACAATATATTAGCGCTGATGCGTAGGTTGACTGGCTGAGCTTAGAGGATCCGATCCTAGGAACAATACACATGTCTTCCGCTATTCGTAATAATCCAGTTATACAGTTAGTTTTCATTGTCCACTCTTATCTGCTATTGTATCTCTGCATAGTTACGCTCCTCATCAAACTAAAGATTTCAACTATGGCTGGCAGAAGCTGCCTAAACTGTCGAA